AGGTGCATAACCTGCAGGGCCCAGTGCATCCCCCTTTTCCAAAGTTTCAGGAATTTCAAGACGACAAACTAAGAGCAGTGTTAAGCAAGAGAGGGCCCTTCTAAGCAGGGGCCCTGAGTGACAGTGGGATGCTGAGTCTGTCTCCTTTCCACCCTAACCCTGACGTTCCACCTGGCAACAATCTTTCTAGCCATGCCCCGCAGTCCTCCAGTTCTTCCAGTCCAGAAACCCTGGAGTCCCTGTGACCCTTCTCTCCCAGCAAAGTCCACGCCTGTCTCCTGTGGCTCACAGGGACCGATGACCCGGATCCTACCCAGCTCAATTCTCTGCCTCCTGCACTCTCCCTCCCTCCCCTGGCTCACCTGTCTTGGAACTCTCCTGGCCCTCACAGCAGTGCCCTGTGACCCGTCACCACCTCTGATGGTCATCTGGTGCTAATTTAAATCCCTGTTTCTTCCCCAAGGGTATTATGAACTCACAAGGACCAAGGTTCTGTGTTTTCCCTCTTCTTGACTTTCCAACACGTAACGCTTTGCTGGGAGAGAGCTGTTCGGGAGTCGGGGATCCTCAAAAATACAAACGACTCTCTAGCAGTCACAATGTGCTTGGCTTCCGTCAGCTCAGGAAAGGCTAGATCCCATTTCCCCTTCTCAACTATCCCTCACCAGATCCAGAAGCCTGAGGAACCCAGTCCCTGCTGGACTTCGGGGCAAAGGGGTAGCCTGAGGTCTGGCATATCCTGCTGCACAAGGAGTGAGCAAGAACTGGAATCTGCCGTCTTTGACTGAGAGCGATCGCTACATGTGCGTGAGAAAACTACCTGGAGCTGGAGAAAGAAGCCCCCCGGAAAGCAGTAGACTGACCAACGCTTAGAACTTACACAAAGCTGAGAACAGTTCATGCTCCCACCAGCCAGAGTGGAAAGAGTTCGGTAGAGTGCTTAGAAGGGTACCGCTTCAGTGGTGGGCCAAATTAGCCCTGAAGACTGCTCTAGATCTGTCCTAACACACTTTAAAAGCAAGACCTAAAAGGATCCAACTGATTCCAAGTAACCCTATGCCAAAACGAAACCCAGCACTTTTTACATGAATACAAAATCCAGCACTCAACAATGTGAAATTCACGGTGTCCAGCACTGCAATAAAAAAACTGTCAAGCTAGAATTCTATACCCAATGAAAACAGCCTTCACAAATGAAGTAAAAATACCTTTTCAGACAAGCAAAAGCTGTCAGAATATAGTCAGCAGACCTGCACTATAAAAATTTTAAGTTCTACAGGCAGAAGGAAAATACCAAAATGTGGATCTATACAAGGAAATGAAGAGTGACAGAAATGATAAAGATGTTGGTAATATAAGACTATTTCCATGTTTCCTCTCTTAAAAAGAAAACTACCTAAAACAAAACTGTGTATGCATATGTAAAAATAAAATGATTGACAACAGTACAAAGAAGAGAAGGAAGAAAATGGAAGTATGTAGTTGTAAGGTTACGTTCTATAAAAAAATAAGAGGCACACAGCCCATAAAAAGTGCTTAGTTAAACCAAGAGAAGTTACTAAAAGAGGGAAAAAGAAACAAAGAACAGATGAAACAAGTAGAAACAATTAGAAAGAAGGTAGATTTAAACTCAACCATGTTGATGATTACACTAAATGTAATTGGTCTAAGTACTCCAAATAAAAGGTAAGGATTTGCAGACTGGACAAAAAAGCAAGACCCAACTACATGCTGCCTACAAAAAAACAAACAAAAAAACCAAACTCCTATTTTAAATATAAAGATACAGATGGGTTAGAAGTAAAATACACTCCCACAAGTCAAAAAGAGTTAGAATGGCTATATCAGTATCACACAAAGTAGACTTCAGGACAAAAAATAATTTACTAGGTATAAAGAGCAACATTTCATAATGATGAAAGGGATCAATTCATCACGAAGACTTAACAATCTAACAACAGAACTTCAAATTTCATAAAGTGAAACTGATAGAACTAAAAGGAGAAATAGGCAAATCCATAACTACAGCTGGATTTCAACACTTCTCTCTCAGTATTTATATAATGAGACAAAATCAGTAAGGATACAGAAGACTTGAATACCATTATCAATCAACTTAATTATTGACATGTATAAAACATACAGAACACTTTACCAGCAAGAGCACTTCTCAAGCACTCACATAAACATTCACCAAGATAGGCCATTAGCTGGGCCATAAAACAAATTTCAGTAAGCTTAAAAAGATTTAAATTACACAAAGCAGGGGCTTCCCTGGTGGTGCAGTGGTTAAGAATCCGTCTGCCAATGCAGGGGACACGGGTTTGAGCCCTGGCCCAGGAAGATCCCACCTGCCGCGGAGCAACTAAGCCCGGGTGCCACAACTACTGAGCCTGCACTCTAGAACCCATGTGCCACAACTACCGAAGCCTGTGCGCCTAGAGCCCGTGCTCCACAATAAGAGAAGCCACTGCAATGAGAAGCCCGCACACTGCAACAAAGAGTAGACCCCCCTCACCGCAACCAGAGAAAGCCCACGCACAGCAATGAAGACCCAATGCAGCCAAAAATAAAAATAAATAAAATATACTAAAAAAAATAAAAATTACACAAAGCATGATTTCTGAACAAAACAAACTAGAAATTAGTAACAGAAACTTATGTGGAAAATCTTCAAATGCTTGGAAATTCATCACCTTTCAAAACATAGCATGATTTAGCTTTTAGAAGGACCACTCACAATGCTGAATGGAAAACAGATGAGAGAGACAAGAGGCAAAAGTGATGAAACCCTTTAGGAGGCATTTTATAGTTGACCAGATAAGTGATGATGATGTTCATGGACCAGAATGTCAGGAGTGGAGGCAATGAGGTGTCAATATTTGAATGGTGAATAAGATGCGCTCATGGATTGGATGCTGGGATCAAAGAGTGAGGGTTGACACCAAGATTTTTGACTTGTGCAAAAACAAATGAAGGTTTAGAGTTGTCAGTTATGAGATGGGGAACATTAGTAGGGTAAGGATTTGAGGGGGATTATGAGTTTGGGACTTGTACAAATTGAGGTGCTTATCAGACACATCCGAATAGAGAAATCAAATAGGTAGCTGGAATCTGGTGTTCCTGGGAGACACGGGCTAAGTATATTTCGGGCTTCTATCAGCACATGGATGTTAAGGATCAAGAGACTGTGTGTAGATACAGAAAGGATCTAGAATCGAATCCTGCAGTATTCCAAGTTCAGTGGTTGGGAGAACGTGGAGCTCGTGGACTGAAGAGCAGCAAGGTAGAAGTAGAGTCCTGAACAACGTGAAGTTTGCAAGGAAGAGTGATCAACTCAACAAATGCTAACGTGGGACTGGAAGTGACCACGGATTAGTGTTTGTCTGGCTTAGGCTGGGCTGGGAGTTGAGGGGAAAGGGAGAATGTGCTAACAGGTACAAGGTTTCTTTTGGGGTTTATGGTAATGGTTGCACAACTCTGTCAATATACTAAAACCTGTTAAATTGTACGATATAAATCAGTGAATTATGCGGTATGTGGATTATACCTGAAAGCTGTTTCTAAAAATTGACCACTGGATTTAGCACATGGAGATCACTGCTGACCTTGAGCAAAGCAGTTTTGGTGGGGTGACAGCAGCAGTGCCTGATTGGAAGGGTTCAGAGAGAGGTGAGGAGAGGAATAGAAAAATGTGGCAACAGCTAGAGAGAAAACAAAATATTTGAGGGAATAAAATCATGTCTGTTTTGTTTGCTGTTAGGAGTAATCTAGTAGAGAGGCAAAGATTGACAGTGCAAAGGGAAGAAGAGAATGACAAAGTCCTCAGGTCTGTCTCACTTAACACCTGTAAAGTCTTCAGGGGCAAGTGAAGGGACTTACCTGGAGTCACACGACCGGGAAGAAAAGCAGGGCATGTGGATACATACGAAGGTGGGAAAGAAGAAGTGGGAGCTTGGGGGCAGTTCTAACTGCTTCGGTTTACTTACTGAGAGCGTGGTGACTGGCTGAGTGAGGAAAGCAGATAATTGGGGAAAGAAAGTTTAATTAATGGGCAGTCCTGGGACCCACCTGAGACTTATGGTCACGAGTTTAAAGTGAGAACAGTCACGACTGCATTTTTTCAGTCACATCTGGTGGTGCAGGTGCGCACACAGCACGTAGAACTTCGGTCTAACCCAGGCCGGGACTATACAGAGCTGCGTTCATAAGAAGAAACAAGATATGCGACACAGTTTATATTGCTGAACACCGATATGCCACTTTATTATCTGGACTTTTTTTTCCCATTTGTCACATACCTGTCAATGTTTACACAATGAGGAGTATCAACCAGCAGTGGAAGCAACCGACCAAATCAGCTGATAATTCTGTACCCTCTTAACACACATCAATTCTTACTTGGAAGGGACATCTTTGAGTCAGTCTCACGGCTATCCTTAAAATCAGTGTCAAGATTGTCACAACTTTAAATACAGATAGAACTGCCAGAAGTACATCATTTTATATATATATATATATATGTATATATATGTATATATATATACACACATACAGAAAAATACAAGACTAATTGTTTTTCCACAATATTTAATTTACACACTACTGTAACTCTATGCAACTTCTGAAGACAGGTTAAGGGGTACAAGAAACTGTTTAGAGCAAGTAAGTCATTTGGTCCAATATTATCTTAATGTAATGGTTATTTGCTCCCTCCCTTTTATGTGATGACATACTATGACATACAACACATGCACAATCATTCACTTATGAACAAATGAGTAAGACGCCACTCAGACTAACATTTGTATACCCAGAGGGTCAACCAACCACACACAACTAGTAAGGCTATGATACAGCTATGCAGCATAAATGGTCAACACTGCTGATCCTAAAAGTGAGCACCATATATACATTTGAATATAAAAAACCACTGAAAACCAAACACATATGGGTTAGTTAAAAGGTGCCATTCCAAGGCTATACATAATCACAGGAAAAAGTATTTACATTACTTGGAAAACAGCTGCAACAAAGAGTTTATTGCCAATGCCCTTTATAAACTTCTCTCCTACGTTTAATACAGATGTTACGCTCACTATCTATGTGAACCACACATCTTATTTCTGGCCCTTTATAAGATCCCTGCTCAAGAATTTCAAGCAAATATGTTCTATGGCTTCACCCACACACCTATCCTCATAGCTCTCAATTATAAATATCACAATGAACTAGAGCTGTAGCTTAAAACGTATCTAGCCTAGGTCTAGAAATTAAAATAAGTATTTTGACTATCATCTTTACTTAGTTTAGTAAGTATACTGTGAAATTCAGAGTTCTGAGTAAAACATATGAATCCTAAAGGAGCAGAGTCAGTGTGTACTTGGAGAAACCGTGACCAATGGAATGCTGTCCTTTGGTGCTCTGCCCACTCTATGGACCAGGCAACTGTCACTGCAGACACACGACAGGAGGCTGATGAGTGTGGGAAGGCCCTGGGGCCCAGCCACATCCTATCACCAATGTCCCTAAGTGTTGCTTTTAAGACCCCCTGGGCACAGCATGAAAAAGTAGCATCTGGTCCCCTTCCAAAATGATACTGTGTCCTACAAGATAAAAGCCACGAAAGATGATTATCTGGTCAAAAGTAGTCTTTGTACAGGAATAGTTTAAAGCAAAAGTTCTTTGATTATTGTTTTTGTAGGAAGGCAAAGTGAAAAACACTTCCAGCAAAAAAAAAAAACAAAAAACAAAGCAGGCTTTGTGCATTTTTGCTTGCTTTATGTGTGAATTCTTACCCTTTTATGTATACTTTTTAATCAGCCAATTTTCATAGGTAGCTGAGCTAAAAGACGTAAAAGAATGGAAGTTAACAAAAGAGACAACCTAATTATCAAACTCCTAAAAATCATATGCCAATAATCTTTTTTTTTAATTTATGGGGTTTTGACTTTGCCAACATCTGGGTACACCTTTGCTTCTATATTAGGCCCTATAGTTTCTTCTATCTATGTGGTTATAAAGGAACTCTGGGGTGTGCCCTCCAGGAAGGAATTAACACCAAGCATCGTTTTGTTCTGTTAGACAGACACACACTCTGTAAGTAGAGTTAAGACATCATCAGTTCACTTTATCACATTACAAAATGAGATTGTCTGCTTGTGATTTACCTCTACGGGGAAGCTGCCTTATAAATCTAAGTACTTGATCTCACCTATTACAAAACAAGAAAATCTTTTTCAGTTAAATTTTAAGAGCCCAAACTGTTTTCACACTATAGCTTAAGACAAACAGGTGTGGGTATGTTGAAATCATGGTTTTAAGGTTGTCAGTGCAGACGCTCACTGTACTCTGCACAGGCCCTGGCATCTGGGGGCGCGCGGCACGCTCGCGGGCTCTAGGCCTGATGGCATCACAACGTTATTGCTTTGGTTCTGCCTCAGACACCAGAGTGTGCCTCAGATCACGGAGGTTCCATGTCACAGAAGGTCGGAGCAGGAATTTAGGTTTTTCACAAGGAAAATCATTTTTTCTCTCTCTAGGTTAAGTGCAGAACATCAAATTTCTAAGTGCTCCATTTATATTAGGTTCCAAATATACATTTTAATTTAATCCTGATCATCCACATTAAAATTATAAATGTAAAAATTACACAAGACTTTTCGGCTGGAAAAAAAAAAGGCGTGTCTAGCAGCATGCACAAAGACCATGCATTTGTCAAGTCGTCAGGCGAACAAATGAAAAAGTAATAAATAATTGCCCGCTTTAAAAGAGGAAAACCGAAAAGGGACCAGTGAAGTGAGCCGGTCTTCGCCGCTCTGAGCAGGAAGCGCACCGAGGTCAGATGACGTGGCAGCAGCTGGCCTGGCTGGAGGCGCACAGCAGCCCCTCCTTGGGGTTCCGCTGGATGTTCACAGAGATGGTCTTTTCGCACAGAGGTAGCTGGAGCACGTTGTTTTTCAGATTCTTGCTCTTTATCCGGTCCAACTCCACGGTGGTGTTCGCCACGTGGTCGGAGAAGAACTTCATGCCGCCCACGGCTGGGGCGGGCGCCGCACCGCCTGCGGAGCCGATGCACATCTTCCAGGCGGACTTCTCCTGGACCTTCACGCTGGAGAACGACAGGCTGCCCTGCGGGTCGATAATGTACTTGGCGCTCCCGTGCAGCTGGGAGCCGAGGCAGAGGCCCATGAGTTTGAGGCTCTCCACCAGCTCCCCGGCGCCGCGCGCCGCCAGCTGCGTGGACGTGGAGGAGCCGGGGCCGGCGCAGCGGCGGGCACTGCCTGACGTGCCGCCCGGGGCGCCGCCCGACCCCCCCGCGGGGCCGCCCCCGCCAGCGCTGTGCTCGCTGGGGCTGGCCTTGTCCGCGCCCCCACCGCCGCGGCTCGGCTTGCTCTGGCCGCCGCCGTCGCCCTCGCTGCCCGGGGGCCCCTCGCTGCTGTCCCGGCGGTGCCAGGAGTAGGTGAAGCCACTGTCTTTATCCAGGCGCCGGCGGCTCTCCGAGTCGTCGTCGCTGGTCTCCGAGCTGCTGCAGCTGGAGCCGCGGCCCTGACTTTTCCTGCGGTGGTAGCGTTTGTGGACCGTCCCCGGGGAAGCAATGTTCATCTTCAAGCGGCTCAGCTTGGGAGGCAGGTTCTCATCCATGTCGAACTCGTCGTCCGACTCCCCCTCCTCGAATATCTGGTTGAGGACCGGGGCGCTCTTCCTGGACGTCAGGCGGTTGGTCACTGACGGCTTGCGGCGCAGAACCACCTGTGTTGAGAGGGACATGGGCTTCTTGTCCTCCTCGTCTTCCTCTTCGTCTTCCTCCACCCGAAACAGACACTTCCGCCCACTGGCTGCGGGTTTCAGGCTGGCAGGTGGCCCCGTGGACAGCGCGGGCCCGGCCAACTCGGGGAGGTCGTCTTTCTTAGCCGAGTCACACAGGCCTTTGCTCCTGTGGCCGTTGAGAACACTGTCGGCAGCCCGAGCAGGAGACTGAGGGACAGTCGCGTGGGACAAAGGAGTGGCCGTGAGGTCATCCTCAAGGTCCTGGGGCACGTCAATTTTGGTTGGCCATGACTGCCTATGTAACAGATTGGAAAAAAAAGAAAGAAAAGCTATGTAATGGTACACAGACTTTACCCAAGTACCTTAAATAAAACTTACTGGGACAAAATACACAGGCTTTACAAAAAAAAAAAAAGAAAACGAAAGAGAAGAAAAGACAGCGGCCTTGCAAACCCATTCAACATCCTGTAAACATCACAAGGACACTAGAAGGGCAAATGTTACTTTGAAATGTGGTTCAGTTTATGGCTTATTGGCCAAATGAAAACTTCATCACGGTTGTCAGAAAAGGGGGCAAACGTCTTTTCTATAGAAACGTTTTATACCACAAGAAAAACCTTTTTAGAAAGTACAAGGGAGTTATCACCAAAGCAAAACCTGAACACAGGTTTTGCTCCTTCCGGTCTTAAGATCACAACCTTTGAAGGTATATTACACTGCTAATAAATTCACCTGAAATTTCCAGTCCTCCAGATTTTACTGGATGGTGTTAATAGTTGGTGTTTACAAAAACAAATGGAAATAGTTTACTGCATTTAAATATGATACTGGAGAGGAAAGTCAGTGAATACTGGTATACATAAATCTCTTCTTCACCAATTAAAATATGCACCCTCTAAATACTTTTTTTTTTTTTTTTTTTTTTTTTTTTGCGGTACGCGGGCCTCTCACTGTTGTGGCCTCTCCCATTGCGGAGCACAGGCTCCGGACGTGCAGGCTCAGCGGCCATGGCTCACGGGCCCAGCCCCTCCGCGGCATGTGGGATCTTCCCAGACCGGGGCACGAACCTGTGTCCCCTGCATCGGCAGGCGTCCTCAACCACTGCGCCACCAGGGAAGCCCAATACATACATTTTTAAATGACGACACAGGAGTCCTGCATAGCAAAATCCACTGTTATTTAAACTTTGATTCTGTCCCTTCATCCAGAGTCACCCAAGTAGTAAGAACACTGCTTGGTAGCCCAAGGAAGACTTTTGAAAGTGAGGTCTCCAGCCTGTTTTGAATAAACATCTTGAATTCTCAACTGCCCTCTCTGCTCAGGGGAACAGTAGACGCCAGTGACACTGCAAACAGCCACTGGTACGCTGACACTTCCATGTCACACCACTTACGTTATCCTGGACATAAAAGCCAATTTAAATCTATAGCCTTAAAAAACCCATAGGAGTTTACAGCAGACCTCCTTCCCCCAATTCGGAGCCGCCTCCTCTCTCTCAAGGATGGAGTGGGTCCGTTTGCTGGTCACTGCTTGGTAGTCTACAGAAGCTGGGTGTTCAATGATTCTGAGGTCAAGCAGCGTCTCTGGACAAGTCCTCTGTCCTCACAACACAACTGTACCAACTCCAGATGAGCCTCGGGGCCCTAGGAAACGGCACACAACATTCCTTTCAGGCTGCTCCTCAGAGAGCAGCCACCCGAAAGGTCACCCTGGCAAACGCTGGGGTCCCTGTAGTGGGAGGCAGGTGCAGACAGTGCGTCTGACCCACTAGGGCAGCAGCCAGTCCACCCGAGGTGGGCAGGGCACAGATGTGCCGGAGGCGCTTCTCTCCCCACCAACCCCAAGAGAAAGCCAAAACCACCCTCAGAACCCACCCCCAGAAACCAGATGGTTACTAAGCGCTGCAGCTGCACCACACACGCTATCTCCACTTCTGAACCAATGGCTCTTATTTATATGAGTAAATCAGATCGTTAAGCAGCTCACATTTATTAAGAACATATCTGGCCCCAACGCTGTGCTAGACTTAATGAGCACAACACTGTAAGAAGATCACGGCTTATCTTAACGAAAGATAAGAAAGACTGCTAACAAGAACTATAAAGGAGTCACACTGACAGCACAGTTCACACTGAGAACTTACTAGGGCCAGCACTGTGGAGAGAGCCTGACAGCAATTAATTCATTTAATCCCACCACAATCCCATCCTCCCTTGACAGTGAAGAAATCAAAACACAGAGTGTAAGCAACCTGCCAAGGCCACACGGGCTTGAAGACAGTGACATCTAGGCTGAGTTCAGTGGTTACTAAACCCCCAGAGCAGTGGCTTCACTCTGCAACCCAGGAAGCCCTCTGAATGACTGCCTATCGAATGGACGGCGCCTTTGCAGTCAGGCCTCTGTGGTTTTCCTTACTTCCTAGTTTCTCTGTGGAAGGATGCGGGCACTGGTCCCACCCGTGTGGAGTTCAGCTCCCAGGACTTCACAAAGCTCTTCTAACAGAATACACGTGTTTCCATCCCATGCTGGCAGGACCCAAAGAGCGTATCCGCTCTCTGGGGCTCGCTCTCCCTGACTTGACCTACCCATGCCCCACAAATGACTCTGCTGGTTAGACGCCAACCACGTTTCTGCACCCCAAGTCACTCTGACCCCAAGGCACACCCAGCAATGGAACCAAGTTAGGGTGCAGGGTTTTGACAACAAAGAGAAGGCAAGTAAGCAGACATCCACCACCTGCCAGTGGGCCCTGGGCCCCAGGAGGAGGACAGGCCCCGACAGCAACTCCACTCTGTAATCCCCAGGTGGGTAAAAGGAAAGTGCATGGAAGGCTCTGATATTTCTTTATAACTACTGTTGGCTTTGTAATTTCTATGATACAGTAAAACCAATTTAGTTCATTTACATATCTGCTCAACTTCAGATTGAGTTCCGATCTGTTCCCCTAAAAATAAAACAGTTCAATTCCAAATATTCCCTTCTCCAAAACACTGCAGTGGCTCCAGGCCTGGCGCAGCATGTGGCGATGGCTCTGGAGCCACTCTTGCCCACCAGAGGGCTCGGGTCACGACTAGGTTGACCCTAACCCCTCACTGTCACTCTCCTGGTTTGTCCCATGGGCAAGGGTCCCCATGCTCCCTGGGGCCCAGTCTTCTTCCAAGCTGACACCAGACAGGGTGTCTAGTTTTCATTATGCAAGAATATGTCCAGGATATAGATGCAGTTACCAATTTCATCTTCCCATTAAACTAGACTTCTAAATATTTAGTCTTTGGTCACCCGGGAATGTTTTCTTGTCTCTTCTCTGTTGCTCCATCCCAAGTAACAACCTACACATGGCAAGGTGACTGCAAGTAATTTAAAATCCAATGGTATTCTTCCTCTTTTAAGTAGTAATTACTGTTACATATTCACACGTATATGTTTATATAGCTATGTACAAGTAGAGAATTATTTAGAACCAAGAGCATCCTTCTAGTTTTTTAAAATTTTTTTTAACTACTTATTTTATATTTATTTATTTAGGCTGCATCGGGACTTAGTTGCAGCACACGGGATCTTCATTGCAGCATGTGGGATCTTTCGTTGCGGCGCGCAGGCTTCTCTCTAGTTGCAGCACACAGGCTCTGTAGTTATGGCATGCAGGTTCCAGAGCGTGTGGGCTCTGTAGTGTGCAGAACGCAGGCTCTCTAGTTGAGGAACGCGAGCTCAGTAGTTGTGGCGCACAGGTTTAGTTGCCCCACGGCACGTGGGACCTTAGATCCCCGACCAGGGATTGACCCTCATCCCCTGCATTGGAAGGCGGATTCTTTACCACTGGACCACCAGGGAAGTCCCTCCTTCTGTTTTTGAATCACTATAATTCCATGGATTACTTCATCTGAATAAAGATAAAGTCTAAATAAATTTTCATAATGGTGACAAAAAAGTAACTCTTCCCAAGCTTTGATATTAAATGGAAAGCTAATATGGCAGAAGAAAAAGAGGAGAAGGAAGGTAGGGGGAGAAGAGGAGGGGGGCGGGGGGAAGGGGGAGAGTTGGGGAAGGAAGGGAAGGAAAACACAGGGGAGATGAGCGCACAGTCACTGCTTTACCAAAGGTGACGTGGTGGGGAAACGTTCTCAACAATGACAGCAAACACGTGAAGCCCAGTTCAAAGCACTTCACATATATTAATTCGTTTATCCATCACCACAACCCCAAGAGGTAAACAGGATTACTACTCCCACTTCACAGGAAGCTGAGTCAGAGAGAGGTTAAGTGACCTCCCAAGATCAAGCAGCTGACCAATCAACTAGCTGATGTGATGCCGAATCCCTGAAACCCTAACACAGCGTCATGCCACAGACATGCTCTGTATGTCTTTTAAAATTATGTCCAATACTGAGGGAAAACCTGGCCTTGTTCCTAGAATGAAAAATTAAAGAAAATAACACATTTACACATGTCTGATCTGGAAGAGCTTAGTGAAAATAGCTGGCACGCTAGCCTGAGGCTGCGGCTTCTCCGCAGGTGTCTTTGTGGCCAAGCCAGCAACTGCAGCCCCTCGCTCCGCTAAGCCCGAGAGAGGAAGGCCTCCCTGGTGACCAGGGAACCAGGACCCCCACTCACGTGGAGGGCCCACAGGTGGCCCCTCCAGTGAGGCTGTCACCACTCTTTATACTCCCACCCCACAGACTTAGGAAACATCAAAAAAGTTCACTATTTCAAAACGTTAACTTACTAAAATCAGTGAAGATTTTTTTCTCACCTAAACTGGGCCTTGATGTTGCTAGGGCTTGCAGACCTGGTCTGTATTTCTTTCTCTTGCTTTTCCCTCAGGATCCTTTCGGCAAGCAAGAAGTAAGTGGCTGTGATGTGGTTATACCTGTTGGTTTCCAGGGCTCTGAGGAAATGAGAGAGAGGGAATATAAGCCACATTCGCAGGTTTGTTTTTTCACGAGCAGAACTGGATTTTTTTTTTTTTTTTTTAAGTACAAGCAAATAAAATCTAATGACCTGGAATCTTTAAAATTACGGGGAAAAAACAACCCAACACACGCACACAAATGAGAAAAAAACCTAGTAGATCATTCTCAAAATTCTAAGTCACAACTTCATAAAAACGTTCAATTAGTAAGAAAAACCCAAAATGCTGATGGCAGCTGAGCTGGATGTTGGTTTTAGATGCACAAAATAATGAAGTTTCCAAGAATGTACACATTATTCAAAAATTTAATGTGTGTCAGTGTTTATTTCCATTACACTGGTGTACTTGCTTCCAGCAGAACTATGAAATGAGTTATATGAATGTACACTGAAGCACTAGTATCAATCAGAAAAATTAGAAAAAGCTTTTATTTTTATACTCTTTGTATTTATTGGCATTTTCCGACATGAACGAATTATTAATACATTGAAAGCATGTCATTAGCCTCTTCTTTGAATAAAATCTACGCATTCATTCATCCACCTCAAAAGTAATGCTCTCTGAGTCCGTCGTCTGGCCGGCGCTGTGCTGGAGCACACAGCCTGCCTGCCCTCCTGCAGCTGGCCAGTAGTGGGACACAGGAGGAATGCCACAGAGGATCCACACGGCCCAGAAATATGTAATTATGCTTTTCAGGACCTTTCTGTAGTTAGTGAACATATGCAATGAACACTTCGGGAGGAAACGATACAGGAGTCTCTCCTCACAAAACAGACAGTGGGGCCTCAGCTAATGGGGGCAAGTGGGGCTGAATGAGAGGTCCTAAAGGAAGAGCCCGAGGTGAAATTCGGGGCCACAATGACTTCTCAGAGTGGTTTCCTCAGCTGAGCACAGGGTAGAGCTGTGGGCTTGTGTTAAGGGGACCAACAAATGTGTCTGTGAACTCAGGAATCACCCTGCAGTGAGGAGCTTCTCGTACTGTGGGCAGCAAGAAAGACTTGCCCGAAAGCAGCCGGGAGGACTCGGGCTCAGGGCATCACCTGAGGCGTCACCTCTCCTTCTGGATTGATAATTGAATTCACATGAATTAAATAGTTCTATACTACAGCACTGCATGTATTTATTCATTTAAAAATATTAAGCCAATTCAGGGCGATGCAAATAGCCTTTTTTATTCACTCAAAAGTGAAAAATCATTTTCCACATATTCCTAAAGTGAGTGTTGTCCTTGGCAGAAAGAACGAGTGTCCTGCACTTCTCTGTTTCTCTAGGTCAATCTGTGAAAACTGAGAATGCACTCAGAAACCTGAAGAAATTTGTACATAAACCAAAATGATGATTAGTTTTATAAACCCTTCTTTCCAGTGTACCCTAAAGATACATGTCCTTTATACAGACACCACCCTTCTCAGGGACCAGACCCTCAGGTGCCACATGTGACAGTCTGCCACGCTGTAGAGGTAAGTCCAGCCTGCAGCCTCCTCTCCCCCGAGGACAGGTACCTGGGTCAGATCACTCAGCCAGGCCAGAGTGGCCCGCCCGATGGGAACCTCTTTTTTGCCCCCCAGAGTACATCCTCTTTCCATCATATCCAACTATTTCATTCAATGGGTTAAATAACTTTTGACTCTTCATTTGTGGAAACGCTTCGTATTTTTACAGACAGGATCTCTTACAGAAATGAATATCATTGTTAAAGCCAACTGCATCTTTATATTATCCTTGATTCCCAACTTCTTGGGTTATAAAAAACTGTCTTTGGTTTTAAAAAATGTAACTAACAACTTGTGCATCTCGTGGGTTCCAGGTTACTGCAGCAAGGGCTCTAAAGAGCCAGACAGTAAATATTTTGAGTTTTGTAGGTAACATGGTCCATCTCGCAATGAGGCTGATACTGCAGCACAATGCTGCCATGGACAACATGTAAACAAATGGGCTGAGCTGTGCGCCACTACAACTTTATTTACAAAAATGTGTGACTGGACGCATATAGCAACCCCTGATTTTGAGGAATTGTGGTGTCGCCCCCTTGAGTGTCCCTGCTTCCTTATGGGGACCAGAGGGAGACCCAAGAATTACGAGGATACAGCAATGGACAAGGCATGTACTGGGATATAAAACAGTCTATTCCAATCCACTTCTGTAAGAGGGGAGAAAGGCCACAGGACTCACTGTTCACTAGTACAAAAATAAAAACAAAAGACCAACAAAACCTATGAGCCAGGCGCTGGGCCAGAAACTCTAGAGATAAATGACATAACCCCTGCCCACTGGCAACCCTATCCATTACACAGTGTCCACAAGCCCTGACACGTTAAGAAAAGAGCCCATCCCAAGAACCCTATGCCCACGGCCCCTGTACTGATGAGCGCCGACATACTCGACAATGGCATCCCGATCCGCTATGTCCCCGAGCACCATGCGCTGAATGATGCTGTTGTGCTCCTCTTCCGAGAGGTTTTTATATGACACGAGGGGGATGTTATACTTCGTGGCTGGGGAAGGGTCCACTCCCTGAAGCCAAGGATGGTTTTCAATCTCTTCTAAAGAGGCCCTTCTCTTGGGATCTCTCTGCAGCATCCTTGTGATCAGGCTGGAAAGGAAGGTAAGTCCATTGTTAAAGCAAACTGTTGTGAGGGATTAGTAATGGCGGGTTACTGTATTTATCAGCATTGTTTCCTAAACTTACACCATCAATTTCATTACGTCCACTAGAGGTGATGGTGGGGCAGATGGGAATAAAGAAAGTGCCATCAGATTCATAAAATAAAAAATCACAACCACCAGATATACTGACAAGCCAAACACACAAATGCAGTTTCCTACCACCTACAAGTAACTCTAGGTACCAAGATCTGTCCTTGAACTAACTGTGGCATGGTGGCGTACCCGAATCAGACACAACGATCAGCGACGACATACAGAATAGGGTGCATGAGCCAACTTCTGTTTCCGGAAGAATGAATGACCATCCTGATGAAAGCAACCAAAATGACATATATTTTTAGACATATATTTTGTTTACAGGCATTGTGTTGGCAGGAAGGAAGGGAGGGAGGGCAGACAGAAACATGGACAGACGAACTACTCAGCAGGTAAAAACAGAGTAAAAGCAAGACTCTTAGGAGCAAATGACAAAGTTGGCCTTGGCCTGATTGTTTCTGTTTTTTTCTGTTTCCACACTGAGTACACGAAACAGAATATCACCAGAATATAACATGTACGGCCTACTGAAAGTGGGGGATGCAACTAGAACCCTTGCAAAGAACTGGGACCCCAGCTTCAGTGTGAAGATGAACGAGAAGAAACAAACCTACTGCTAAGATGTCAAGAGGGAAATCTGCTGCCTCAACAGTGCTGTGGAGGTGAGATGGGGGAATTTCTTCTAAGAACTTCTAACTACAAGCTGGTCCTCTCACAAGTTTGGGGTCCAAATTAATGATAGTATATCTGTATGGTACACATAGTGAAAAAGTTAATTTTAAGAGGTTTCAGGCTGCACGTACCCATGGGCAACTAGTAGAAAAGCAAATGCAAACTGTTTCTCCAGGGAATGTAACTTAAAAGAACTGCCACATAATTTTATAAGAAATCTGACCTCGCAGTCGAAAACTACAAAGGAAACAAGGTACCACTGCAAGAACTAAAAGACACGATGGCAAAATCAGAATGCAAAGACATCAAATACATCTACTTCTACCAGTGAACACAATAAAAGTAAATGGAACAAACTCTCCAGTTAAAAGACAATGCTCAGATGGGAGCATTGGTCAGATGGGATTAATCAAAAATCCATCTCCCAACTGTTAAAAAAAGATGTACCTAAAAACAAGCCAATAAAAGATTTAAAGTAAAAGAATGGAAACCTATATAGCACATAAATGCTAACCAAAAGACAACTGGAATGGTGAGCTAAAACTAGACAACATAGACTGACTTTAAAGCCCAAAGCATTATTAGAGAAAAATAGTGATACAGACGTTCAATTCACCAGCAAGACACAACAGTTTTCAACTTGTTTGGACCTAATAACATTCCCCCGAAACACCCAAAGCAAACACTGAGAGACTTTCAAGAATAAAAAAAATACATTTACAATGTTGTATTAATGGGAGTAATCACTTTTTTTTTTGCCTATAATATACTTCCATGTAGTGGAAGAATATCTCAGTAAGTGATAGATCAAGCAGTCAAAAGACTCAGAAGTAATTTTAAACATCATAATAAACAAGCTTAGTCTTAAGGACTTATACAGAACTCTGACCCCAACAATTAGAAAACATACATTCTTTTCCAGAACAAAAGGATTATTTACAAAAACTGACTCCATGCTAAGCCGTAGGAAGCCTTACCAATTTTAAAAAAACTAGTAACATACAGACTATATTCTTGGATCACAATGCAATTAAGTTAGAAATGAATAAAAGTTAATTAGTAAAGCTACACATTTGGAAATTTAAAATACCCCTCTGAAAGTAACAGGTTAAATAAACCCGTGGAACCTATAAAAATAATCAGAACTGAATAACAAAAGGACTACTAATCAAAACTAATGGGACGCAGCTGAAATGGTACTAAGAGGCAATTTATAGCCTTAACTACTACCTTAGAAAAGGAAAATTTATTATCTGAAACCCCACTTAAGAAAAAGAACAAAAGAATTAGCCCATTAAGTAGGCAGAAGGAAATAATACAAAAGAATATCAATAGCATAAAACAAAAAATATAATAGTAAATTAATAAAGACAAAAGACAGTTCTTTGAAAAAGGTTAAAATGAACAAACCTCATGTAAGACTGATCAAGACAAAAATAGAGAATGCAAAAATAGAGAAGGCAAAAAGATCAGTATGAGATTGAAAAAGGGCAACAACTCCACTAATTCATAGGCTTTAAAAATATAATTAGAGGGCTTCCCTGGTGGCGCAGTGGTTGAGAGTCCGCCTGCCGATGCAGGGGACACGGGTTCGTGCCCCGGTCCGGGAAGATCCCACATGCCACGGAGCGGCTGGGCCTGTGAGCCATGGCCGCTGAGCCTGCGCATCTGGAGCCTGTGCTCCGCAACAGGAGAGGCCACAACAGTAAGAGGCCTGCGTACCGCAAAATAAAAAATAAAATTAAAAAAAATATATATATAATTAGAAGATATTATAAATACTTGAGGCCAATAAATTTGAAAATTTAGGTAAAATGGACAAGCTCCTTAAGAAACAAAACTTACCAAAACTGACAGGAAAAAGGAAAAAGTAGGAAAAAGTAGAAACTGAATGGTCCTACGATTATCAAAGATAATCCCTCTAGGAGGGAAACACCAAGAAGAGGCTTCTAAAATATTAGAACCGTTCTTTATCTTAAGCTGGATAATGGGTTCATTTTATTACATACACATTTTATCCATTCTTTTGAATGATAAATGTCAATATAAAAATAAGTCACTCTGTTTTAGTTTTTTTCAGAAGGGGCTATGGAGATACTCTTTGAATTACAAACATCTAACATGCACACAACATATACCCCCAGAGAGCAGCCTGCTTCCTGGGGTAGAGAATAATAATAGTAAGGGTATAAGGGGGAGGAGGAGGAGGAGAGTCATCAATATTCATCTTGTGCTACTTATGTGCTAAAGACTGAGCTACAAGCTTTATATACATTAATTCATTTGATTTTCACAATAACCCTGTAAGGTATGTTCCACCATTCTCCTATCATTAGTAAACTGAGAAACCAGTAGCTGAATCCAGAGTTGGAATTCCTAAATTCTTAACTATGGCCTAAGATGGGGATCCACTTGGAGAAAAGGTTCCTCAAGCTCAGATTTCCTTCTTATCAGCTGATGGGAGAAACTAAAAACTTTATTACTCTAGCAAAATCCTTTAAGTAGCTATCATCTCAGGTGACCTTACTTTAAAATATCACCACAATATCAAAGAAATACTGAACTTCCAACAGTTCTTTTACTCCATTATGAATTTATCACTACACATATCACAGTACTATATATACAGTACTTTAAATTCCCAGTAATCAGCTTGCATATACTTCTTCCCATAGTCACATGAACCAAAACAGAGCTCTTCAGTCAACTGGGGAGAGAAGTAATGAATAAAATTATGAGGCATGCTATGTAAATCCCAAAATGGTGTGTTGATGGTCTATTTCAGGAAAGAAAATTCCCTAACTCTTCTCTGGAATGTCAAATAATTCCAGGTGCAAAAAGAGAAAGTAGTTCTTATGGTAATTCTTCAAGTGAAAGTAACCCACTTCTCCTGGAGGCTGAAGAGGCATAAAATGGGTTTCTTGAAAACTGGCATATGTGAAAAATAGACTAATACATTCCATACTCCAATATTAAATTTCAATCATATTCTATGGTTAACTCCCCAAAACATACTTAACAAGAGCAGAAATATTGGGTTCAAAAATTAAAATGAACGAAGATACCCACATACTTTTTTTTTCTTTTACTTACTCTTTACACCCTTTAGATACGTGGGATGGTACTGTATATTTGCAATCCATGATCATTGTCAATGTTTCACTGTCATTGGCCTCTTGAAATGGTGGCTGCCCACACACCAACATGAAAAGGATCACTCCCAGACTCCATATATCTACAAATCAAAGACATACTGTTAAATACTGAATTAGTTAGAAAACAAAAAACACTCAGGAGTAAAAGTAGACTAACAAGGTTTTAGTTTGAGGAGTCAAAACACCTTCTACAAACAAATGAAAACAAAACATGATGATCCAAAACCTATGTGATGCAGCAAAAGCAGTTCTAAGAGGGAAGTTTATAGCAATACAATCTTACCTCAGGAAACAAAAAAAAGCCCAAATAAACAACCTAACCTTACACCTAAAGCAACTAAAGCAACAAAACCCAAAGTTAGTAGAAGGAAAGAAAGCATAAAGATCAGAGCAGAAATAAAAGAAATAGGGATGACGAAACCAATAGTAAAGATCAATGAAACTAAAAGCTGTTTCTTTGAAAAGATAAACAAAACTGATAAACCTTTAGCCAGACTCATCAAGAAAAAAAGGGAGAGGGCTCAAATCAGTTAGAAATGAAAAAGGAAAAGTTACAACAGACACCACAGAAACACAAAGGATCATAAGAAACTATTAAAATCAACTGTATGCCAATAAAATGGACAACCTAGAAGAAATGGACAAATTCTTAGAAAGGTACAATCTTCCAAGATTGAACAAGGAAAAAACAGAAAATATGTATAGACCAATCACAAGTATTGAAATTGAAACTGTGATTAAAACCTCCCAACAAACAATAGTCCAGGTCCAGACGGCTTCACAGGCGAATCCTATCAAGCATTTAGAGAAGTGTTAACACCTATCCTTCAGAAACTATTTCAAAATATTGCAGAGGAAGAAACAGTCCCAAACTTATTCTAAGCAACCACCATCACCCTGATACCAAAACCAGAAAAAGATACAACAAAAAAAGAAAATTACAGGCCAATATCACTGATGAACACAGACACAAAAAATCCTCAACAAAATACTAGTAAACTGAATCCAACAATACATTAAAAGGATACCCACACCATGATCAAGTGGGATTTATCCCAGAGGTGCAAGGATTTTTCAATATCCACAAGTCAGCGTGATACACCACATTAACAAACTGAAGAATAAAAACTAGATGATCATCTCAATAGCTGCAGAAGAAGCTTTTCACAAAATTCAACACCCATTTATCATAAAAACTCTCCAGAAAGTGGGCATAGAGGGAACCTACCTCAACATAAAAAAGGCTATATATGACAAACCCACAGCAAACATCATTCTCAACAGTTGAAAAGCTGAAAGCATTTCCTCTAAGATCAGCAACAAGACAAGGATGTCCACTCTCACCACTTTTATTCAACATAGTTTTGGAAGTCCTAGCCACGGCAATCAGAGAAGAAAAAGAAATAAAGGGAATAAATAAAATTTGGAAAAGAAGAAGTAAAACTGTCACTGTTTGCAGATGACATGATACTATACATAGAAAATCCTAAAGATGCTACCAGAAAACTACTAGAGGTAATCAATGAATCTGGTAAGGTTGCAAGATACTAAATTAACACAGAAATCTGCTGCATTTCTACACACTAACAACAAAAGAGCAGAAAGAGAAATTAAGGAAACAATCCCATGTACCATCACATCAAAAAGAATAAAATACCTAGGAATAAACCTACCTAAGGAGGCAAAAGACCTGTACTCCAAAAACTGTAAGACACTGATGAAAGAGATCAAAGGTGACACAAACAGATGGAAAGATACACCATGTTCTTGGACTGGAAGAACAATATTGTCAAAATGACCATACGGGGCTTCTATGGTGGCGCAGTGGTTGAGAGTCCGCCTGCCGATGCAGGGGACATGGGTTCGTGCCCCGGTCCAGGAAGATCCTACATGCTGCAGAGCGGCTAGGCCCGTGAGCCATGGCCGCTGAGCCTGCGCGTCCGGAGCCTGTGCTCCACAACAGGAGAGGCCACAACAGTGAGAGGCCCACGTACCGCAAAAAAAAAAAAAAAATGACTATACGATCCAAGGTAATCTACAGATTCAATGCAACCCCTATGAAATAAATTACCAGTGGCATTTTTTCAGATCTAGAACAAAAAATCTTAAAATTTATATGGAAACACACAAGATCCCGAATAGCCAAAGCAATTTTGAGAAAGAAAAACAGAGCTGGAGGAATCAGGCGCCCCGACTTCAGACTATACTATAAAGTTACAATAATCAAAACAGTATGGCACTGGCACAGAGACAGACTTACAGATCAGTGGAACAGGATATAGAAAGCCCAGAAATAAACCCATGTACCTATGGTCAATTACTCTATGATGAAGGAGGCAAGAATATACAATGGAGAAAAGACAGCCTCTTCAATAAGTGGTGCTGGGAGAACTGGACAGCTACATGTAAAAGAATGAAATTAGAAGATTCTCTAACACGATACACAAAAATAAACTCAAAATGGATTAAAGACCCAAATGTAAGGCCAGATACTATCCAACTCTTAGAAGAAAACATAGGCAGAACACTCTTTGACATAAATTTCAGGAATATCTTTTTGGATCAACTTCCTAGAGTAATGAAAATAAAAATAAACAAATGGGACCTAACTGAACTCAAAAGCTTTTGCACAGCAAAGGAAACCATAAACAAAAGGCAATGCAACCCACACAGTGGGAGAAAATATTTGCAAACGATGTGACCCACAAGGGATTAATCTCCAAAATATACAATCAGCTCATGCAGCTCAGTATCAAAAAAACAAACAACCCAATCAAAATATGCACAGAAGATCTAAAGAGACATTTCTCCAAAGAAGACATACAGATGGCCAAGAGACACATGAAAAGATGCTCAACATCACTAATTATTAGAGAAATGCAAATCAAAACTACAATGAGGTATCACCTCACACGGGTCAGAATGGCCATCATCAAAAAGTCCACAAACGATAGGGGACTTCCCTGGTGGGCCAGTGGCTAAGACTCTGTTCTCCCAACATAGGGAGTCTGGGTTCAATCCCTGCTCAGGGAACTAGATCCCACATGCCACAACTAAAGATCCTGCATGCCACAACTAAAGATCCCACGTGCCACAACTAAAAGGTCCCTCATGCTGAAACGAAGATCCTGTGTGTGGCAATGAAAATCCCACATGCCACAACTAACACCCGGTGCAGCCCAATAAATAAATTTTTTTAAGTCTACAAACAATAAATGCTGGAGAGGGTGTGGAAAGAGGGGAACCCTCCTACACTGTTGGTGGGAATGTAAATTGGTACAGCCACTATGGAGAACAGTATGGAGGTTCTTTAAAAAACTAAAAATAGAGATACCATATGATCCAGCAACCCCACTCCTGGGCATATATCTGGAGAAAACCATACTTTGAAAAGATACATGCAACCCCATGTTCTTTGCAGCACCATATACAATAGCCAAGACACGGAAGCAGCCTAAATGGCCATCAACAGATGAATGAAGAAGATGTGGTGCATATATACAACGGAAAATTACTCAGCCATAAAAAAAGAATGAAATAATGCCATTTGCAACAACACAGATGGACCTAGAGATGATCATGCTAAGTGAAGTCAGACAAAGACAAATATCATATGATATCACTTTTATGTGGAATCTAAAAAATGATACACATGAACTTATTTACAAAACAGAAACAGACTCACAGACTTAGCAAACAAACCTATGGTTACCAAAGGGGAAAGGTCGGGGAAGGGATAAATTAGGAAGTTAGGATTAACATATACACACTACTATATATAAAAGAGATAATCACAAAGACCTACTGTATAGCACAGGGAACTCTACTCAATACTCTGTAATAACCTATGTGGGAAAAGAATCTGAAAAAAGAACTGATATAGGTATATGTATAACTAAATCACTTTGCTGCATACCTCAAACTAACACATTGTAAATCAACTTTACTCCAACATAAAATAAAAATTTTTTAGAAACATAAAACCAAATTTTAGAAAAGCATTTATACCTCAAAGTAAAAAGATCTAGGGGAGAGAACTTAAGCCTCAGTCAGGCAGGGAAGGTATGTCGTATTCCCTGTTTTCATATTCACTTAAGACCCAAGCAAGTGCCAGGCCCATAGGGAATGGTCAGTAAATGTTCAACGAAGAAATGAATTAATTCATTTATTAATGGCAAGAACATCAACTGGAAAGTACCTATCAAGGTTCCCAAACCAATGGACATACACTACCATTTTTCCCATTATATTATACACCAGAGATAAAACTAAGATACTAATACTCTGAGACATGAAAAGGGTTTTGCCTAAGGTCACGATTGTCCAGGTTGTCCTTAAACCTCAATCCTGGTCAGGTAACCAAATCATGTTACAGACAAGAAAATTAAAGCTCAGAGAGGAGAAAAATATTCCTGGGCTGGGATGTCAATGAGGAAAAAGACTGATTATGTATTACTTCAGAGGAAAGAACTAGGACTGAAGGTATAGTAACCAGAAGGCACACTTTGACTTAAACAGCAGATGCTACTTAATAAAACCATGATAACACTGGAAAAGGTAGTAAGTTTCCCATCACTTTAAGTATTCCAGCAAAGGCTGGATAACCATCAGTTTAATCTCCTGCATAAGGCACTCCTGTACTTGCTGGAAAGCTGGACTAGCTGACATCTGAGGACCCTCTCAACACTAACCCCTATAATAACAAGTAACCCCCTACTTCTTGCCACTAAATAAAAAACAAAGCCATCACTCAGATGGAAAAATAATGACTCAATTTAGGAAGGCCATCACAAGTCATTCATTCATTCATTCCAGAAACTATAGACATGATTACATGAACATGCATGTAACATGACATCAATTCAAGAAGCTTTCTAGACCATGAAAGGCTTAGAAGAGAGTAAGGGGCAGGCCACAAGGCCTTTGTCACCACATCTGTTAACACTCAACCTCTCTTTTCTTTTAAGCTTAAACACCCAAAATTATGTAGGTTCCATGAGAATTAAAACTTGTTAATAAAATATCTTTTCCTTGGTCCAGATTAAACAGAGGGCAATAAAGGCAGAAACCCAAAAGTTAC